ATGGTCACATACTTTGACAATGTATTGTTTTAGTTGAAACTATTTGTCACATACAAATACTTGCCTACCGCAAGCTAAAACGGATGGATGTTTCATCTGGCGTATTCATTAAATAATTGAATAAGTTGTGTTGAATCCTTAGACAGTTAGACGATGGGAATAACAATTAGTGACTCATAGTATAACTAATAGTGAGAAGTAGAAGAACATGAGACCTTGTTCATCTGGTATATAAGAATATCCAAACTTATTTTGATTGTAATTTCATGAGGTAAAATACATAAAAGTATGGAATATCATGTTTAGAGCTACTGTATATGAATCAAAATCTTAGCTAGCTAGACATGTAATTCTACCTCTCATGTGAATGATTGTTCTTTACATGATCGAATCCTTACATCCACCTATTTAAAGGTGAAACCAAATTAAATGAGATGCAAAAACTGACAACGGTAAGTGGTTTGCAAGGAAACATGGAGACTTTGCTAAATCCTATTTAAACTTGAAGATTTTCCCAATTTAATATTGAGAAATGTGGAGGCAGAAAAGTAAATGACATCCAACAATTTCGTCAATTAGGCTATTGTTGGAAAAATGTGTTGGAAATTGCATTAAATGGTCATTTTGGGCAATTTTTTGAGTGGGGTCCACTTCCGATTTGGGTCGGGTCAAAGTGGTTTCGGATTGTCCTTGTTAAGGACTACAATTCGGTATATGGTACGCTCAAAACAAATAACGGATGAATGAGAAATTGATTTTCGAAGTTTACCCGTTAGAATGAGAAAACTGAGAAAAAGGATGGGTTTCTAGTGTGTTATTTCCCACACCGGAAAATCCAAGGGATTTGCAACCCTTTATAAAGGGACTCCCCCTTAAGGAGTTAAGATTCCTTAGGGTAAAGGCTCTCTCCATGCGTGCAGGGGGGTGCAAATCAAATCCCGAAATCGGAGAAGAAAAACCGCGACTTGCGTGCGCAAGAGACCTGCGGACACGAATGTCGTCCAAAAATCTCTCTCAAGAGATACGGTCAGTCAATGCCCAACGGACTGGTCATTGATGTTCAACGTTCAGGTCCATTAATTCACCATTTACACACAACAAATCCTCTTATATAAAGGCTGGCGGGTGGTTTGCGACAATATCACGTTCATACACATTCCTCACGTATTTCTTAGCTCTAAAAACACCTCCAGCATTCCGAAAATTTCCTAAGTGTTCATACTGTGTTCTCGTTCGCTGGAACTCTTGTTTGTGTGCTCAAACATTAGTTCGAGGTCATCGTATCCTGGGAAACGATTGTTGCAACGCTCCTAGCACCGTGGGAGGCAACAAATATGTTTTAAGGACATCGTGCGTAGCATGAGCTTTGACTAAATTCTGCTCCATCTTACTTCTGTTTTCTTTCGTCATTTTAATTAATTTTCTTTATTTTCCGAAACACACCCAACAGCTATAACTAATTTATAATAAAAAATAGTAACTTACTCATTTCTTTTCCACTACAATGCTATGAGTTGCATTTGAGGAATGAAAACCACAAATGTGATAGTAATGAGAACAACGTTCAACTTATTTTAAAATCCTCTAGGTATTCCCTATATCAAACTAATTTTTCACTTTATTTAGGAGGTCTAACACACTAACATTATAGCTTTGGCTATGGAGTATTATTAAACAAATCTAAAATAAATCCATCTTACATTTTCTTAGAGGTAGTAAAAGCAACTCTAAGAGTTATTTCAATACTTTTCATAAGATATTTTGCAAAGAGAATAGCACGAGCATAGCAACCAAAGAAAGTAAATGACTTTTTCTACGCTAAGAAACGGGCGATAATGAAGGTATGTGTTTTACATAATTATTTTTTTACTCCTACGAACAGATGAGATTTAAGAGCATGAAAACATAATGCAAACTATATAGGCGAAATTGATATAAATAATTCTTACTTTTATGCATTTTACAAAAATAATCCTTACCGGAAAAGTTTACAACAATAATCCGAACACTTAACTCTTTGATAGAAATAAACCGGAGATAACGGTGTTAACTTTTCTGTTAGTTTTTTTTTTTTGCTTATTAAATATAATGAAGCGAAAATATGTACAAAAATCAAGAATATTATATACTTCGTATATTTTTCCTTATATTTAATTTTATTATGAATTAAATTTTAACAATCATTATTTTCATAAAATGTAATAGAAATATTTAAAAACATACTCATCAAATTCTTATTTTTCTTTTAGTTCTAATCAATATTTTGTTTATATTCATTTTTATTTCATTGTAATAGAGATTTAAATGTAATTTTAGTAATTTTATATGAGTTTTTTACAAGAATATTACTAAAATAAATCTTATTTACATAAATATGACTATTCATGACTACAACGTACTAGAATGAATACAAGTCTGTTTTCAAATATTTTTATTATATTTTACAAAAAAATTGATATTATTGAATTTAATTTATAGTAAAAATAAGACTAAACAAAAACATAATATTATTAATGTTCTTATATATATTTGCTTCATTTTTTTTTAAATTTAAAAAAAAAAGTAATGGAAAAGTTAACACCGTTAACTTCCGGTTTATTTGTGTGAAACAACTATGTGGTTGGGATTATTGTTGTGAACTTTTTCAATAGAGATTATTTTTGTAAAATGGCTAAAAGTAAGGATTATTGGTGTGAATTTCGCCAACAATATATTTCACATATTCCATAATATGCCATTGAGATAACATTAAAAGTTACCGAGTAGTAATTAAGGAATGAAAAATTGTTAGTGTACATGAATTGTACACAAAACCCCTTAGTTGTTTGTGTACACAAGCAATCCGTTTAAAAAGGAACATGATTTGATGCAAAATATTTGTGTACACAGACAATGTACAATTTGTGCACACATTTTGTGTACACCACGAACGGTCCCTAAGGAATACGTTAAATATATTGTCGATCTCAATCCAAATACATAATAAAGATATTTCACATATTCCTTAAAAGATACCCCATCCTCTCCCCTAACTTTGTCCCGTTTTACCTTTTTCGTTCGTCCCATTAAATTTGTCTCGTATCATATTAGGTAATACTCGTACTTGGGTGGTTACAATTCATTTTTACTTTATTCACATTTTATCAATTCAATAGCAACCACACAATTCCACATTTTCTTAAAAGTTGTGTCACACTCCCTTGTCCCAAACACAGTGGGACGGAGGTAGTATTACCTCTATTTTCTTAAATAAATGCAATGGTCAACTTTTCACATTTCCCAACGCACAACTTTGACCATTAATATATTTAATTCTCTATTACTATAAAATTGAAAAACCCAGATTTTAAAAATTTATGTTGAGACAAATTTATCAGTATTCTTACATAAATAAATTATTAATGCATTAATTTATAAAACATAGTCAAAGTAGAATGTGTGAATAATATAAAATTCACCGTGTTGGCACTTATATAAGAACGGAGAAAAATACGGTATACTCCATCCATCCCAATTTGATGGTGTGGTTGCGGTTTACGAGGTTTGATTGACGATAAAGTGAACTGATCCCTGTGCACACTTTATTATTTTTAGAAAAAAAATTACATATTCAGAAACTACGTTAAAAAATTTACACAGCCGCAAAAATCATAATCAAATTTGATAAAAAAAACTGATATATAAAGTAAGAGATTAAAAGTAATTTGTATTAACAAAGTCAATAAGAAACACACCATCAAATTGGGACAAAGGTAGTAATATATTCTGCCTCTCCAAATTAGTCTTTACTTGTTGATAAGCGATAGTATTTCACCACCTGGACAATTTGCAAATAGGCTGAACAAATTATTATGTACTCCCTATGTCCCCTTTTAAATTTCACGTTTTACCATATTGGGATGTCCCTATTTAATTGTCACATACCTTATTTGATAAAGTTTGTGTGACTCAAAATCATTCTTACTTTATTCTTACTTTATCAATTAATATCAACCACACAAATTTACTTTTCTTAAAACTCGTGTCACCCTCTTCCGAGACATTTAAAAGGGGGCGGAGGGAGTAGTTAGTCTGCGACTCTGTTCTGTGACGTCATTCTATTTTTTTTTTGTTTCATTAAAACACCAAGTAGTGTCTTTTGGATTAAGTTTTAAAAAATTGAGTCTTCAACACGCGGAAGGACTTAACAAATAACAACGCATACCTCCTACAAACCAGCGGCATAGAATTATAAAAAACGGGAGGCAAGGTAGAAGATTACCAGGGGGCAGGCCACAGGGGGGCCGTATAATTTACACCTAAAACTACTTTGACATTTCCGGCGAAGGGAACGCCGGCAACGGAGAAGGGGTGCCGGCAATAAAGAAGTGGGCGCCGGAAACGGTGAAGGGGGCACCGGCACCAGCTAGCCCCTCACTGATTCCACCTCTAAATAATTCGGATCTGTAACTTCACAAATAATAACAACCTCAACCCCCAAGGAATGCAGAGTAAATTGACGGTCAGGTTATACTAACAGGGAGATGCAGTAAATTGACGAATAAACCAAGGAAAGAGTACAAGACCTTAACCATGTGGTACATCCTGGTAGAGCTTCATGTTACACCAACAAATTTTTTATACCTAAAACTATGGGTGGACCGGTTCCGGTTCGGGCCTGGGCCCGGCCGGGCCTCGGTTCAGGAATGGGAGGCCCGGAACCGGCCCGGGTAATCCCGGGTCGGGGCCAGGCCTCGGTTCTATTTTTTTTTTTTGACTTTTCCTAATTAACCCCCAACCCTCCCCCCCTCACCCCCAAACCCCCCCAAACCACCTCAAATGGCCCAAAATACCCAACCCAAAAACTTAAAAAAAAAGCGAAAAAAAAAATTAATTTGGCCCGAACCGCACAGTAACCGGGCCGGGCCGGTTCAAACAGTAACCGGGCCAGGCCGCCCGGCCCGAGTCCATCCCTACCTAAAACAGTCTTACCTTCATTCATGCTTATAAAGATGTAAAGATGAGTAAAGAAACAGGCTGCATAACTTTTTAGACATCAAAAAAATTACTAAAACATATCCTACCCTGCTAAGGGGAGACAAATGTAAAACCAAAAATGCTCCAAGGCTCCAAGCAGATATCCATGCAGAGAAGAGAACATTTCATTACATTTCAGCAAATGCAGGTCACAACTCACAAGGACCTAGAAAATCAGATACGATAAGCCAGAATATCATTTGCCAAAATCAATATACACTCACACTGCAAAGTGAACTCTCCAAACAAAAATCATTTAAAGATACAAAATTTTTCCTGGTTTAAAGTTCATCCTCCATCCTCAAGTATTCCCCAATATCAGCTTGGTGCAAAACCACGTTAGCATTAGGATCCAGCTTCCTACAATCCTGTGTGCTTTTAGCAGCAACTCCAAACCCCAGGGGCACATCGGACATTGAGAACACCACAACCCCATCATGCAAATTCACATTCTCCGTTATCCTGCCAACTCCACCTTTCAACACATTGTTCCCATACAGAAAGCTCATCTCCGACGTTGGTTTTAGCCATACTTTGTGTTTTGCATGTGCTGCCAGCAAACTCAGGGACTGGATTGTCAGGTGAAATTTTTCTCCTTTTGTGAATTTCCCAATTTGGGTCCCCAAAGAAATGAGGTTGTCTCTCTTTATGTTAGTAGCCCGTTTGACAAGGGATTCCGACACGTAGTAGACACGATTCTTTTGAAGACGGAAACAGTACCGACCCGGAGAAGGTTCAGGCCCCTCGTGAGATGGACTTTCCACAATGTTCTTCAAATTATTGCCCACAAATTTATACAGCTTTTCAAAGACTTGGGTCGTTTCATTCTCATCCAATGGCCTCATCTTTTTTGTTCCTTCAATCAAATGCTTAACAACCATCAGAATATAAAATTTCAAACTAGGAAGTATCAATATACGCATTTACATATTTATTTATTTATATGCAGATGTAATTACACAAACACGCAAACAATGAAGCACCAGATTAACCCATAAAACATGGAAACAATGATGCTCGAACGCTTTGCTGTGAGGCTGCGACTGGAGCTGTATGAAGCAGCGGCGGCCGTGTTGCCTTCAGCAGTTCAGAGCAGCAGTTTGACGATTAATGTTATGAAGTCAAGTAAGACTTGGGCTTTATTTAAACTCCTAATTAAATGAGTTTTCTAAACCTTTGTTTCTAAAATCTAGGTCTTTGGTATGGACTATGAAAGATTAATCTACGACTAATCTCTTATTTATACTCTGGCGAACGCCTTGGCCGCCTATTCTTCTTCCAGCAACAACGCGATGGCTCATTGCAACCCCTCCCCAGCGACTGGACACCTAGTCAGCTCCTAGGCGATGCCATAACAACTCTGGTAATATATACTACAAATATATTCAAATACTGAAAATAACACATTTTCAGGAATAACAAAAACAGTAAATATACAGCCACATATGTCTGCTCTAAATAAAAACACTTAAAATCTCAAAATTGAAAGTCTTACCGTAGGAAAAACACTGATTTAAAAACACGTGCATCTTACCGTAGGATAAATATTTCACTAAAAATCTATTAAAATGTAAAACAAAAAGGGCCATTCTGTATTTTCTCACAAAGCCAATGCCTGTCTTGAATCAAGTGCTAGTCTATCTTTATATATATAAAGAGAATATGGTGGAGATCCAAATAGAAATCTATTTGGAGCCAAAAGAAGTGAAAAATTGTTGTCACAATTAATTAAACATTATTTAATATGTCAATAGTTAATAACAATCAATGATTAAGTAGAAACCTCATTAATTGTTGTAAGTTACAAATACAAATTAGAAAAGTAAGCATATAGACATTACATATAAATAAAATTATTAGAAAAATATTAGAAACATTTACATACATAATTAGTTAATACACATTTACATACATAATAAATTTTAAAACGAAATGTTCTAACTTTAGAATATAAAAAAAGTACTTCGTATTAAATTATATTCATGAATGATGAATTCAGATACAAATATTATTAAAAAGGCCAGGAAAATGATACTACCTCCGTCCCCTAAGTTTGGGACAAAGGGGTGTGGTGTGGTTTTTAAGAAAACGTAGAATTGTGTGGTTGATATTGAATTGATAAAGTGTGAATAAATTAATAATGAATTCTAGCCACTCAAACATTACCTAATATGGTATGGGACAAACTTAATGGGATGGACGAAAAAGGTAAAACGGGACAAACATAGGGGACGGAGGGAGTAGTAATTAGTACCCCCATAAAATGTGAATGAAATTGATTTGCATGTGAAATACAACAACAACAACAACAACAACAACAACATCCAAGCCTTAGTCCCAAAAGATATTGGGGTCGGCTAACATAAATAGATACATGAGATCACCGCCAAAAGGAAAAGAAAGAAAATAATTTAAAGATAAAAAGATAAGCTATTATAAAAAAGATAATGTACAAAGAGATGAATATACCTAAAAACGATAAAATAAAAAGGATAAAAGTAGTCTATATATATAAGGATAAAAAGATAAAAAAAAAAACAAGCAAAAAATGAGGGGATGCATGTGAAATATAAAGAAAATTATATGATGGAGATTTGTGCAGATCGTATAAGGAAAAAATAATTTACCCACAAACTTAATACTTTAAATAGAAATAACCAAAGTTGCATAAATAAAGTTATCAAAGTTTAACGAGACGAGAGAGGAATTGTTATTGGTAATCAGTTGCAAAATAAAATAAAAATGCATTCATTTAATTCTATTACATCTATCCATAAAAAAAGACGATTTAAATAAATTTATCCATTAGTAAATAAGTAACTATATTAAAAAGAATTCAATCCTTACTAGCTAGATGCAGACAATTGAATAAGGAGAATATGATTGTACTTTATCAAATTTAACAAGAATTTGAACTTAACTGAACTAGAAATTAATTATAAGGAAATAAATAGCCACTTTCACATCAATACATTGAAAAAACATAAAAGGGTCAATACATTGATAACTCACTAATAAGTAAACATAGCATGTCGATCTACAATTCATATGATTGGTCTATATCGTTATAAAAATTTCTATACTATGATACCCACTAATAATTTATGTGGCTGATATTGAATTGATAAAATGAGAGTAAAGTAGGAATGATTTAGAATCATACCAACGTTACCAAATTTGGTATAAAACAATCTTAATGAGACAAACTAAAAAGGAAAAATGAGACAAATTTAGTGGGACGGATGAAGTAGTATCATACATGGACTCTAATTTATTTTTATATCATATTTTTATACAATAACTATGTATATACACATTTCTCATGAATTATTTTAAAATAAATTATTTCATCTTTTATCCGTGCAACGCACGGGTGGATTGACTAGTGTGGCTATAATACTATGACACCAAAAACACAGATGATTAAACAGTAAACGCACTATTAACCTCCCTGTGAATAGTAGTACCAAATTTCCAAATGAATACCATGAATCATGATAGTACCCTAATCTTTTTTAGCTCTCCTTTTCTCAAGCTTCTAAGTAGCTTTATCTCTCTCATTAAGCTTCAAAGTAAGTAAAGCAATAATATCTTTACTCTTTGGGATATATTGAACTCTGTAGGTAAATACATTTTTCATTTATATGCAAATATACACACACATATATATATAAGCACACGAATAGTCCAACAAGTATTTATATGAACTGAATGTGAAAAAATGTTAAATTTAATCGTTTAAACGAAAGAACGGATAAAGAAAGAACCTCAACAACACCCTCTAAGCTTACTGATGAGATATAAAAAGATATGTTAGAACAGATAGGTAATAATCGACTAACCTCAGGATATTGGAGGAACGGCGTGGCGTAGACTGCGTACGACCGGCTGCGAGATGAGCGGTAGAGAGAGATGAGAAACGGTATTCGGGAGTACAGTTAGGTTATTCCAGATCAAACACTTTGGGCTAGCATGGGATTTTCTAATTGGACCGGATTAAACATTTGGGCCAGTATTTTTAGTAACATTGAGGATATACTTGATACAACTAGCTGAAAAAACATTTTTGTGAACTTTTTAGTAACCGTTAGTTTTTAGTGCTTAAAAATATCTTAAGAAAAAAGGTGATAGTTCTTTGGTGAAAAGACGACTGTTTGATTTAGGGTATGTTTGGTACAACTAGCTGAAAAAAAATACTTTTGTGGACTTTTTTTTAGTAATCGTTAGTTTTTAGTGACTAAAAAGATCTTAAGAAAAAAGGTGACATCTCTTTGGTGAAAAGCCGACTGTTTGATTTAGGGTATTTTTGGTACAACTAGCTGAGAAGATATTTTTGTGAGCTTTTTAGTAACTTTAAACTTTTAGTGATTGAAAGTATCTTTAAAAAATGTGTTAGCTGTTTGGTAAAAATCTGACTGTTTGATTTAGTTCGGTTTGGTAAGCTGTTAGGATTAATTAATATTAAAAGTCACGGGCCTTTTTCCCAGATGCTACTCCTTGTAGCATCTCAAAAAAGATCTTTTAATTTTTGAAAAACTCTTAAAAAATTATCATGTCAAACTTACAACTAGAAGCTTTTACAGGCTTTTTGAGCAGTACAAAAGTAGAAGACAGAGACTTATGTCTTGCAAACATGCACTTAGTTCTGTTTGATATACATACTAAAACTCACGGTCTTTTCTCGGATGCTACTCCCCGCAGCATCTTAAAAAATATCTTTCATTTGTTGAAAAGCTCTTAAAATTTGTCATGTCAGACATACAACTAAAAGCTTATGGAGAATTTTTAAACAGTACAAAAGCTAGAATGCAGGGACTTATGTATGTTGGACATGCACTGAATCACTCAAGTACGTTGAATCCATTAAAATTAATGAAATTTTAACTGAATTTACCGACTTCACAAATTTTCTGATTTGTGGAACTATTATATTTGAAATATTGTGGAAAATTGGTACGGTGATCTTTTACAACAATTTCAACCAGTTCAATCACAAAAGTACTCTAGCACTCACTTATACTGACTATTATACATTTCTGCAAACGAAATCAAAATTTGTGTTAAAGAAACAAAAATGGCTCACAAGATTCATAAAGCTAAAGATTTTGTAATTTTGAAGCACATGCAAGTCGGAATGTTAGTTTCTCTAAGGGGTCTTTGATGTTTGAACTTGCAGTTTCGTTGGCCCACCCCCCTTTCGAACCGCCGTAATGGAGTGAATGAGTTGACATAGTTTGAGAGATGACGCTTCAAGTAGGAATTTGGCTATCTACAGTTTTTTATTTGAATTTTAATCCAAGTTTTTTTTATTTATTTCTTAGTCAATTCTTCTAGTTTTTGAATTTTGTATGTCTGTGTTAGTCCTATGGCGTATAGTTTCACTATGTTTGAAAGTACTCTTACTTCGAATGTCTATCATTACTTCAAACCGGCCTCCCGCACGTTCAACGATCTGTTCAATTTTTTGGAGAACATTTTTTGTCTAAACAGGGAGGGACAGGACCTCCGGGTTATATTATAAAAGAAGTGAATCTGATGTAAGATTCACGATTCTGTTGTTTTAATACAAGCTTTCTTTATCAAAATCCTTGTCTCTTAAAATTTAGGGGGTGTTTGGAACTGATTCTGCTTCTGCTTCTTTTTTAAAAGCAGAAGCAGAATCAGAATCAATTTTCAGAAGCTGGTACCCCCCCAGCTTCTAAAAAAACTGATTCTGGGAGTAAATTAGAGCACCAGAAGTGCTTCTGGAATTTCACCCAAACACTCCAGCTTCTACTTCTGCTCCCTGAAGGAGCAGAATCAGTTTTGAGAATCAGATCCAAACACCCCCTTAGTCAGGTTTGATAGACATGAAGATTTATAAATTAAAACTATGTGGTTGAGATTTATCTAGAGGAAAAAGAATTAACCAGAACCACACTTCTTTACTTAAAAGAGAAAGTTACAAATTTAGTGGGACAGTCAAAAAAGGAAAGTTGACAAAATCTAAGAGGTGGGTGGATTATATGAATTTAATGGAAAGTTTTAAGTGTGAATTTTAAAAGTTTATGTGTATTCAATGTAAAATTTTTAAAGTAAAAAAAAAGGTCTAAACGTATTCACAATTTTCATTCGTTCTTATGGACTTTTCGTGGACTTTCAACTCATTTGTGGTACATTACTTTATGCTATTGTCTCTTCTCATCACCAAATATTTTCATAGATATTTTCTGTTGTCTCCTACTCATCACAAGGGCGCATAGTAGTAGTCGCATACATCCGGTTTCATAATCAAACTAGATTTGACTAACTATTTACCCGAGTTCACAAAAATGGCCAACTAATTCCGAACTATTATCGAGTCAGGAGATGGGTACCCGGGTGGTGTCATTATGCAAGGTTTGAACATCAAATTCTATTTTTTGGTCAATCTACAATAAATATAATTGAATAAGGAGATCTTACATCAATATTGATACACAAGATAAACTTAAAATGATTTTTTATATATCATCTTACAAGGAAAAAATGTAGGGTTGCACAATCGGATTGGTTCTTCGGTAGAGAATTAATAAGTATTTGAAGAACCATTAATTTAATATCGATTCGCTTCTAGATTTTTCAGAAATCGATAGCATCATATCGTTGCAGTTCTTGTATGTTGTTAGTTAACCGTTTAGAAATAAAATATATATTTAACTATTATTGTGTATCATAGTCAAAACACTAACAAATTAAAAACATGATATGAGACCAATAAATATTTAACTGTAAATAAGTAAACAAATTCTAACAAGCTAAAACTGAAAACAAAACAACTATCAAGAAAATGTTTGATTGCACATATGCTCGTACCATATGTAGTAATAAACATAACAGTTGTGTAACGATCAATATTCCTACTCATTGAGTTGTGTAATATAATAATTGATCACAACAAGATCAAGATTGTCGATTATTATCTTGAGTTTTGTAATTAATAACAATATATTTGGGTGCTTAGGCCTTATTTTTTTAGCAGCAAACAATTAATTGGCATTAATTAAATCAAAGTTTAGTACATCAACAATTCTGCTAGGAGGGAAAAATGATCAAACACAACAATCAGACATAGAAGTAGCTTCTCGTGCAATCGCATGAACGGCCTATTCGCAGATTGTCTAAGATGATGGAAATCAATATCCGTAAAGCTAAAGCTTAAACTTGAACGATTTTCCGAAATGGCTTGTAATGAATCAGACTCCACATCCACATAATTCCAATCCTGACCCTTTAACCAGCTTAGAGCTTCCCTGATACCTATTAATTCTGCCTCCAAAGGTGAAAAGTTGCCCTCCCAATACCTGGCTACCCTACCCAGAAAATTCCCATGATCATTTCTTAAAATCCACCCACCCACACATCCCTCATCATTGAAGCCAGCCAGGGGCGGATCCAGGAATGAGGGGTGGGGTGGGCTAAGCAGTAAAAATTTTCGTTATTGCATACAAAAGGTTTAGCTTAGGACTGATAGTTATTGAACTGAGTTTTTTTCCGAACTACTCGAGTTCGATCGTGATTTCGAATTTAATTTAATGACCAAAGCTTAACGAGCTTCAATCTTGAACACGGGCTAAATTTTAGTTTGAATAGTTTGTTTTTACAAAAAAAGCGACCGTTTTTTTTTGAGTTTGAATAGTTATTCAAGCTGAATTCGAGCATAGTCATGTTCAGTTCGATCTGGACTCGAGCATATTCATAACTTATAAATTATAGAAATAAACTATATACTACCTCCGACTTTTATTAAGACTAATTTGACTTTTCAAGTCAAAGAAGTTAAACTCTGAATGACTATATATTTATACAATAAAATTGATAATATGAAAATGAAATGGAAATGTTCTTTGTTAAAAAGTTTATCATAAAAGTATAAATTCTGTAAGTTTCACATTAATACATGAGTTAAAATGATGGATCAAAGTTTATCATCTTTGAGTAAAAAGTCAAAGATGGCTAAATAAAATGAAACAGAGGTAGCATATCTAAAATTTAAACGTTTTTAGTGTGATTTATAATTTTATTATTGATTATTAAAGATTTTAGTATTTATTGATATGAATTAAGATACTTCTATAAAAGTATAAAACTAATAAGTAAAAATAGTCGATGTACATAAAACTTATAAGTATTCCCAATTTTAAAATTGAATTGAGATTTTGAATCCATTCTTACATGCCTAAACAGTAAATACATCGTTCTCTATTCTTTAATTGCATTATAAATAAATCATTTTCTAATCTTTAATTCTATCTTTAATCATTATAAATTTATAATAATAAATAAAAACTATTTTAGTATCTACTGAAAAAATTCAATTAATAATCAAATAGAATTATAAAGTTGGTAGGTTTGGGCTGGGCTAGACATTAGTTTTGAGGTGGGCTGGAAATTAAACTTATACCTATAATAATAAAAATAAATTGGGCTGGGCTGGGCTGGAGCCCACCCCTGCCCCAACATAGATCCGCCCATGAAGCCAGCATCAATGTTTAATTTGCACCGACCCTCAGTCGGTCGTTTCCATGCCAATTTTGAACTCTCTCTTGAATACATAAAGCCCTTCCTTGATCTTTTGCCTGAAGCCAAGCATTGACAAAAGATTCTGCTTTGCCCAAAAATTGATGAGCTTCCAACTTCTTCCCCTTCCAAATTCTCTCATCCCTTCCACACCAAATGCTCCAACAAACCCAAACTATCTTCTGTAGCTCCTCGTTCCTCTTCACCTGAAATAGCCGCTGCACCCATTCAATAAAAGAGCTAGCCGGCAACCCCACAAAACTCTACATTGCCAGATTAATTACAATTGTTTCATTTATTCATTTAATTGTTCTTTGTCACAATGTATAGAGAAAATTTCTTAAATGACACTAAATATTATATTTATATCCCTACTTTAATTAATTAATATAAATAATTGTTTCCTAGTTCACTTGCATAACTAAGGTC